CACTTTTTGGATTTGTTTTTAACATTCGTTACGTAACATTTTGCATTTCTTATATGCCTTCCTATCAAATTTTGCACTGTTTCTACAGTATAGACAGGAAGGCCTTGTGTCCACCCGTAGCGATATGTACAGTTATGGTATCATGTTGCTTGAAGTTTTCACAAGGACTCAGCCTGGAGATGATATATTTAGTGAAGATTTAAGTCGTCTAAAAAGTTGGGTGTACTATGGACTTACTACAAACATTGGTCAGATTATAGATCCAAACTTATTTGGACCAGATGAAGAAAAGTACGATGAGAAATTAGAGGGTATATTGGCTATCTTGGAGCTAGGCACAAAATGCTCAGCAGAATCTCCTCAAGAGAGGAAATTAGAGGATGATCATCAAAGATGCTTTACCAGCATTGAAAAAGATAAAACTCCAACTTCTTTCCGTGTATGATTTATGTAAAAACTAGCATTTCCTACCATTTGTATCTTTCATGAAAATGGAAATAAAATGCAGCAGATCGTAAAGTCTTTTACACAAATCAAGTAACATCATTTGCAATTGTTTTGAAATATAGAGCATAAGAAACACTAATAAACTAAGCCATCTAAATTAACAAAGATCTAAGCGATCAAATTGAGTTGAGGCAATCCCTTTAGTCCTCAAACTTTATTTACCTTCTATATATAGGCTCTTTATTTTCTTTTTCCATTGCACCAACAATATACGAAAAGGATAGTTAATTTGCAACGTAACGGTGCTGTTTTGTTCTCCACAAGCTCTGTTAGTTCAAGCATAGATGGGTTCTAGGCATGTACTTCAATTCTAATGAATGAAAATAGGTTAAAGTATAGATCCAAACTTAATTGTTCTAGATGAAGAAAAGTACAATGAAAAAGTGTATTGTGTGTTAATTTTTTTAAAACTAATTAAGCATGAAATTCTCAGTAAAAATACATTTTGCCCCCCCCCCCCCCCCCCCCCCCCCCATCCCTCAAATTTTTTCTAAAAAAATATGTTATTTTATATTAAATGAATTAAAAAGATCTATTAAAGTTCAAATTCATTAAATAAAAATAAATAAATTCAATAGTCAAATTTACCATATTTCTTTATTAGCTTATTTCTTTTGTCAAGATTTCAATAATGGATGCATGATATCAAGTATCCGATATAACTTTAATTTAAGAAATCTTCAAATTTTGAGATATATAGTTTAATTTTATTAGTTGATTAATTAATTAGTAATTCCTTTCAAAAAAAAGTAATTTGTAATTTATATTATTGTATATTTTTATTATTTATTTACAGAGCAAATTACACTTTTGGTCCTATGACTATAGGGCGTGTTAATTTCAGTATTTGACTTTAAAAATTAACAATTTAGTTCCATAACTATGCAATTTTTAACACATTTGGTCCTTCCGGCCAAATGTCGCTGGAAAAATGTAAATCATTTTCAATTATTTATTCATAGGGGCAAAATGGTCAATTGACGTTAAAAAAAAAAACAAAAAAAAAGGAAAATCATCTGGTCGAAATCCTGCAGCACAGAACACCTTCCTTCGCCAGACTACCTCGCTGGCTCGCTGCAACACCGAAGCTTCCCGTCGTCGACGATAACCTGAAATCATCTGGTCGAAATCCTACAGCACAGAAGACCAGCGTCCACGTACTACGCTCTTAGTCGCTGCCCAACTCACCGCTCAATTTTTTTTTCTTGTTTTGCCATTATGACCCAGAAAATGAAAAATTAATTCCATTGAATTTTCTTCTCCATTTCCAGTGGAAGCAAGGGTTAATTAAACTCAGAAACTGCACAGTGTTTGTATTAGTTCATTAGATATTTAGGTGTTTGGTTTGCGTTTTGGTTGTGATGCCTTTTGTTTTGTGTTACCAATTTGGAATTTCGGCAATTCCAGTATTCGGTGGACCAATCGGCGGTGAATAGGATGCACGAGATTTGTGTAAGTTGAGTTGGTGAGGTCAATCGGTTTGGACCCACAGTTAAGGAGCTTGTCGGAACAAACGCAAACTAAGATGGTGGGCGAAGCGTCGGGAGGGGAAGGAAGAAGACGACCTGAAATGACAGATTTACCCCCACGATTAAATAATTAAAAATAATTTATATTTTTCCAGTGACATTTGGTTGGTAATTTCGCCGGGAGGACAAAATGTGTTAAAAATTGCATAGTGACGGGACTAAATTGTTAGTTTTTAGAGTATGAAATTAACACGCCCCTATAGTTATAGGACCAAAAGTGTAATTTTTGCTCTTTATTTACACTTTTAGAATGTACATTTGCTAGTTTAAAAGATTAGTTTTAAAATTGATAAAAATAAATATTAATTTCTTAATTCGAGATCTTGGTTTTTATCTTCATCCTTCAAATTATAGAATATTTAGTTAATCAAAAAATGAATATCAGTTAATTATGAAAAATGTTATTATAAAATAATTGATAAAACTTTTCATTCGATAAAAGAGCGACAATATAGATTTAAATAAATGTAAATATTTATTTTGTATTATGTAAAAAATTTAAAAATAATAATTGACATCTGTGTTGATCATACTTATATAATTATATATGTATTTCGTACATTATTGAACAAAGTATAATTGAAAATCATTATCAATAATAATCTGCACAATTATATATTATATGGGGTATATATAATGAAATACATTATTGGACAAAGTATAATTAGAAATCATAATCAATAATAATCTGCACAATTATATATGGTATATATAATGAAATTATACGATTGCTACTAAGCTACGGGGCATTTGGTTGGAGGAGAGAATTACGTAGCAAAGGAATTGCAATTCCATGGAGATGAATTATTGGGAAAGAAGTGAGAATTTAAATTCCAGTGTTTGGTTTACATGAATAGAATTACTAGGAATTTCAACTCCAATGTTTGGTATACTTTGGGAATTGAAAGGGAATAAGTAGTGTAAAGTTCAAAATGCCCATTGTTGTTGTTTTTTTTTGTTTTTTTGTTTTTTTTTTTTTCATTGTTGTTGTTTTAGGTTAAAAAAGGGAGGGTAATTTTGCCTCATTATTATCTTTTTTTTCTTCCTAAAATTCATAGAATTTAAATTCCAGGGAAGATGATATTTTAATTCCATAAAAATGAGAGAATCTTCCAACCAAACTAAGAAATTGAATGGGGCCTTTGAAATTCGGTGAAAATTAAGTGGACATGGAATTAAAATCCCCTTCAACCAAACGCCTTGTAATGTTGACTAGCACTATAAATTCTCTCAATTTATAAGTTTAGCCGCAAACTCAAATTTTCTAGCTCCTTCCCTATTTGTCTTGTATTCTTACGCACAGGTCAGCAGTGGCAACTCCGCGAGTCAATAACTTATCCTTTAAAAAAAATTAAAAAGAAAAGAAAATAAAAACAGGTCATAGTCTCACATGACTTTGAATGAGTCCTCCGCTTCCATGTCCTGCCTGGCCATTGGAGTTCATTTTTCTTTTATTTTAACAAAATATAAAGAAAAACACAAACAAAACAAAATAATAAGTCAACCTTCGCGGCGTAGAATATGTTACGGTCGGTTTGATTCGTAAAAAATAATTGAGGAATAAAATTTAAATTCTAAGAAATATTTATTAAAAATGATTGATTTCCTTGTTTGGTTGTTAGTAGAAAAAAATTAAAATTATTAAAAGTAATGATTTTATAGTTTTTCTTTTTTTTTTTTTTTTGAAAACAAAGGCTGCATATATTAAATCAAAGTCGAAATACACAAAGGCGGGATAGCCTCCCACACACCAAGGATAGAAGCTGAACCAGTTGCCTGTGCTAACACATGAGCCACATGATTCGCCGACCTTTTGACATGGCGAACCAACACGTTCCCGATGTCACAATTAAGCAATAAACTGACATTGCTTTACTATCAAACCTACGTAGGACAAGTCCTGTTTGTTTGTTTGTTGGGTTTGGAATTATCTAAGGATTATATAATTAGTATATATTAGGACCAACATATATGCTCCTATATTTATTTTACTTAAATGTTGATGTCTAGTGTCTTTATCTACTAAAAAAATGATAATTTGAAATTAGAATTATATCAATATAAGGCACTACTACATATAATACTTTTAATGTCGATTATTTAGAGCATACGATGTCGATTTTTGTCTTACGTGATTCTAACCGACATAATAATTAAATGATACAACATCGATTTTTCATTTAAAATCGACATTGTATATTTTTTTTAAGTTTTAAATAAGTACATACGACGTCAGTTTTTTAGTGACGTCATAACTTTATATTATATTAACTTTAGAGATACCACGTTAGTTTTTGTAAAAAACAAATGTGGTATCTTAAATTTTTTTAAAAAAAAATATTATATACAACGTCGGTTCTTAAGATGAACTGATGTCGCATATCTTTTATTTTATTTTTTTTATAAAAACATCCCACGTCAGTTTTTGGTAAATAACCGATGTGGTATGTCGGGATAAATATTTAAAAAAAAAAAATTAGAGGAACATACCACATCCTTTATAAATAATTGACATGGTATGTTGTTAAACCGATGTCGTACCAAATTTTTAAATGTTTAAAAATTTTATGTAACGTTGATTTTTCAATAAAACCGACTTTATATATATTATACACACACTAATATATATAATTTATTTATAATTTCTACCAAAAAATCTAAACAAATATATATTTCACATCAACATTCAAAACTTGTGCAATTTTATATTTATTTTTTTTAAGGTTGCAATTTTATATATTTATAATAATTATGCATTATAATAAGTACGGACACTTTAGGTATCACTATAAAAGAAGCTCAATCATTCGCATAGCTTCACCAACCCAATTTTCTTCTTCACCCAACAGTATTTAGAATTCAATCAATTCATACATATATACACACCTAATCTCACCTTTCATCCATACTAACATGGAGATCAGAAAGGTATCTTCTCTATTATTATCCTTGTTGTATTTAGCAATGGCTTTCATACCCTGCGCTATATCCACCAACATCACCACTGATCAGTCCTCTCTTCTTTCTTTGAAATCACACACCAGATTAAGTCCCAACCATACATTGGCAAACAACTGGTCAATCAGTGCTTCTATTTGCAACTGGATTGGAGTTGTTTGTGGATCAAGACACCATAGAGTGGTTGCATTGAACATATCGAGTATGGGTATTGTGGGTACCCTTCCACCACAATTAGGCAACCTCTCATTTCTTGTTTCTCTTACCATAAGTCACAACAATTTCTATGGAAATTTGCCTAGAGAGCTAGGCAGCCTACGCCGACTGCAATACTTAGATTGTGGTTATAATCATTTTTCTGGAAAAATTCCAGAGGAAATTGGCAATCTTGAGAATGCAAAATGGCTGATATTGGAAGTTAACCAACTTGATGGTCCTATCCCCTTTACCATCTTCAACATTTCCACATTGCAAGATTTGGTCCTCAGTGACAATAGCTTATCAAGCTCTCTTCCCATGAAGCTATGTCAACATGCTACAAGACTCAAAATGCTTGACTTGTCTTTCAACAAGTTGAATGGTGAAATAATTTCAAAGAATTTGTCAAGTTGCTCAGAACTTGAAAGATTTTGGTTGAGTTCCAACTATTTTTCCGGGAGAATTCCTGAAGAGATTGGGAGCTTGAATATGCTTAAGATTTTAAGCCTCGGTGGTAACAACTTTGAAGGTATGTTCTTGTACTATACGTATTTAGTTATTAGAGTAATGCGAAACCTATGAAAATATATAGATAAAATTTAACAATTTTTAGTAATAATTCTAAACATATACGCCCTATTTATGACTCATGTTTTAATTTTGTAGGAATAATACCCGAAACAATATTTAACATTTCTGCACTAACTATTGTAAGTATGGGAAACAACCGTTTGTCCGGTATTCTCCCACCAAACATGTGTTCACACCTTCAAAAGCTTGAAGAACTTTACTTGCATAAGAACAATCTATATGGCAACATTCCAAGGAGCATAGGTGAATGCTCTTCGCTTAAATACCTTTATATGTACAATAATCAATTAAATGGGTCGTTGCCGAGACAGATTGGAAATTTGACAATGCTAAAGGATCTTGAACTGGTTGAGAATTCATTATCAGGTATGGACAATGGAACTCTTTTTTTTTAATTGTTTTGCACTCTCAACCCATACAATTTTTAATTCAGGCCCAAAATTAAAAGAAAGATATTATAATGTAAATCTAGGAATAGACTCCATCATGATATGCAACTATATTTTGATATTGTATTTGTTCCGGACTTAGCTTAATTGAGTAACTTGAATTGGCATGCAGGTGAAATACCTAAAGAGTTGGGCAACCTCGATAAACTAGAGATGCTTCTATTGCATGAAAATGGATTAAGTGGTTCCATTCCGTGGGAAATCTTCAATATATCAACACTCGTAGGACTATCCCTTGTAGCAAATAACCTTTCAGGTACTCTTCCTACATTTTTAGGTCATTCCCTTCCAAATTTAGGATACTTAAACCTTGGAGCAAACTATATTGGAGGAGTTATACCTCCCCACATCTCAAATGCTTCCAACCTTGTTGGTCTTGATCTTGGCCAAAACCAATTCGTAGGCTTCATTCCAAATTCCCTTGGAAACTTAGCACAACTCAAATATCTACGTCTGGCTAAGAACAACCTAACAACTGATCCTCAATTTAGCCTTATAACTTCATTGGCAAACTGTAGATATATCCAAGTATTACAGTTATCACTTAACCCCTTAAACGCCGTGCTCCCAAATACAATCGGCAACCTCTCCACCACTCTCCGAAGTTTCCTCGTAGCAGAATGTAACATCAAGGGACGAATTCCAGAGGAGATTGGCAATCTGAGTAGCTTATACAAGTTGATTTTAGCATACAATGACATTATAGGATTTTTGCCTACAACCATTCAGGTTCTTCAGAGTCTTCAGTTGTTCGACATCTCAGGGAGCAGATTAATAGGATCATTTCCAGATGTGATCTGTGAGCTACGGAATTTATTTTGGATAAATTTAGGCACAAATAAATTTTCAGGTCCAATCTCCGATTGTTTAGGAAACATTTCATCCTTGAGAGAGATCTATCTGTATGAAAACGAATTCACTGCCTTCCCAACTAGTCTATGGAGCATTCAAAATCTTTTGAGGCTCGACTTGAGTTCAAATAACTTGAGAGGTTCTCTACCTCAAGAAATCGGGAATGCAAAGATGGCAATACTTATTGATCTGTCAAATAACAAACTATCTGGAGAAATTCCAAGTAGTATTGGAGGCTTGACAAGGTTAATCAATTTTTCTGTGGGCCATAACAAAATCCAGGGTTCCATTCCCGACACATTTGCCAAACTCCTGGATCTATATTCATTGGATCTTTCTGATAACAAAATATTCGGAATGATTCCCAAGTCATTAGAGGGACTTGTGAGCATGAAGTATTTCAATGTTTCATACAATAGATTAACCGGAGAAATTCCGAGTGGAGGTCCTTTTGCCAACTTCACTTATGAATCATTCTTGTCAAATGTTGGTCTATGTGGTACTCCTCGAATGCATGTCCCACCTTGCCCTGCTAATACTCCTCGGATGCATCAATCAAAGAAGAACAGAGTGGTTCTCATTGTACTTGTCTCCTTGGCAGTTATTGTACTGCTAATTGCCACTATTACTGTATACCTGATTTTAAAGAGGCGCAGGAAGGAGCTTCCCAGTGAACCCGACTTGCTTTCGGCAATAACACCTGCAAGATTTTCATATTATCAAATCCAAAGGGCAACCAATGGATTCAATGAAAGCAACTTGCTGGGTACCGGAAGTTTTGGTTCTGTTTACAAAGGAACTTTAACAAATGGGATGCATGTAGCTGTCAAGGTTTTTCGTTTGATACATGAAGATGCAAGTAAGAGTTTTGACCGTGAGTGTGAAGTTTTACGTCACATTCGTCACAGAAATCTCACAAAGGTTCTCGGCAGTTGTTCTAACTTGGATTTTAAAGCATTGGTGCTAGAGTACATGTCTAATGGGAGTCTACACAAGTGGTTATATTCTCACAATTATTTCTTAGATATGATGCAAAGAGTGAGTATATTGATAGATGTGGCATCTACATTGGAATATCTACACAATGGTTATTCCAAGCCTGTTATCCATGCTGACTTGAAACCCAGCAATATTTTAATAGATGCTGATATGGTGGGACATCTGAGTGACTTTGGTGTTGCAAAGCTCTTAAGGGATGGGAACTCCACAGCCTTTACAAATTCCCTTGCAACAATTGGTTACATTGCCCCAGGTAAACATTTTAAAGTCTTTAAGTCTTTTCTTAACTTTTTGGATTTGGTGTTGTTAACACTTTTCACATAATAGTTTGCATTTCTTATGGCTTCCTATCAAATTTTGTATTGGTTCTAGAGTATGGACAGGAAGGGCTTGTGTCTACCCGAAGTGATATGTACAGTTATGGTATCATGCTGCTTGAAGTTTTTACAAGGACACAACCTGGAGATGAAATGTTCAATGAAGATTTGAGTTTGAGATGTTGGGTGCACAATGCAGTTCCTACCAAAGTAAGTGAGATTATAGATCCCAACTTGGTTGGACCAAATGAAGACAAATATGATGAAAAATTGCAGTGTGTGTTGGCTATCTTTGAGTTGGGCATGAGATGTTCTGCAGAATCCCCTCGAGAGAGAATGACCATCAAAGATGCCTTACTAGCATTGGAAAAGATCAAAATCCAAATTTTTTCTTTGTATGCAAGAACTTAAAGTAGTATAAATAGCATATAATGTTTGAAGTAGTGGATGTATAATAATTCTGTTTAATGTTTAAGAATCTATCAGAGTTATATGTAGAATTAAGAAATGAGTTTCAATTTGGATTTAAGTATTCATTTGATATAGTGTTAAAGAATCACAATTCTCAGCAGTTTTTTTGGGTAGTGGTGGGTGGTGGGTCAGGGTGGGTCTTAAAAAAGTAAACTCGCCGTGGGTTGGGTTGGATTCGGGTTCTATGTACAAAACTTGTCTAAAATCCCACCCGACCCACCATATGTAGTTATTTATAAAAGTTTCTATAACTTCGTGTAACTTTTTACTATTTTTATATCTAAACTACTAAGTTTATGCATTCAAAAAAAAAAAGCTACTAAGTTTATTTTTAAAAATTAACAATTTAATTATTTCTATTATTTTATGTTTTAGTATAACTACTGAATTATATTATTTTACTAGTTCTTTTACGCGCTTTGCGTGAATGAAATAATGGCCAATGATTATTTTAAATAAGTATTTCAAAGTATATCACTGGAATATTATATCAGAGATGTTCATGCATAGGTAAATAAATATTAAATTTGTTTATTTAAATCGGTAATTTAAAGCATATATAAATGCAAAATAATATATGAGAGATTGATTTTATTGTCACTAAAATAAATGTTTGCAACTTTGTAATAATGCTAGTTTAAATACTTAGTCTAAAAATGATAGTCTAAATGAATACTACTTTTGGTTTAAATTTCTCTAATTCTTCTTAATTCTCTTTTGGGTATCATTGTCATTGTCTTCATCTTCAGTACATGTCCTTTTTTTTTATTGGTAGTGTGTCATGTGCAATTGGGTTATTGGTGGTAGCATGGATGGATTCATCGTGCAATAAGAGTATGGTGTAGGTAGTTTTAGATTTGCCTTGATGGGATCTTAGTTGTATTATTAACTCTTTATCTTGCAACCACCTATTGATATTTGGTAGTGGTAGTTTTTTCCCTACATGTTTCATGCATTGTGAGATGTGTGTTGTAGGTTATCATGTGAAAGTATTGAGCAAAATATTAATATTTATTATATTTGTATAAAATACTTGGTAAATAAATATATATAACATATTTTTGACAAAGTAAGCAATATCATGCTTAATCTAATGTGAAGAAGAAGCAGAAGAAGGAGACTGATCATTCCATTACTGCTGTTGTTACTGCTTGGAACCTAAGGGCTTTTAGGTCTTTTCCTAGTAGTTAGTTATAACTGCTTTTGCCTCCTTTTTCCTTCTGAATTTTTCTTAGAAGAGTGCATGAACACTTCGGTACACATTCGCACAAGGGAACATGTCTCATTGTATTCAGTTGCATCCACAAGGCATTAGACTTAGTAAAGTACTCATTAACAGTGAGGTTACCTGGTGAACACTTGAAGATCTGATTCTGTAGCTCTGCAATCCTATGAGGATCGACTTGTGAATACCTTCGTTTGAGAGTGCTCCAAATGTCTGCTGTGTTTTCTATATACAGAACACTCTCCGCAATTGTGGCATTGAGAGACTTGAAGATCCACGAACAAACGATGTTGTTACACCTCCTCCAAACTGCATAATTCGGATCCGATTCTCCAGGATTCAGAATCGTTCCATCAACGAAGCCATACTTATTTTTGACTTCCAAAGCTATCTTCATCGACCTACTCCAGGACGCATAGTTCAATTCGGATAGCGGTGGTGATACAAGGATGAGATTTGGATTCTCCGTAAAGTGTAAGTACATTGGATCGTTGAATTCATCAGAACGCTGGATGGGGCTATTGTTCATCGAATTTTGATATAGATTCGAAGAACCTCCCACTTGTCCAGTCTGATTCTCGTCGCCGATTTGATCTTCCATCGTCACCACTGCGGCATAGGATCGGTGATGCTCTGATACCATGTTGAGTTTAGCTTAGTTCATGTTGTATGGTAGAGGAAAGAACAGTAGAATGCATTGAGCTCTCAATGTTTACAATGGTGATGAGAAGAGAAGAATGAATATCAATCCTTCTGAACTGAACACAGCTCATTATTTATACAAGGAAAAAGGAGGCAAAAGCAGTTATAACTAACTACTAGGAAAAGACCTAAAAGCCCTTAGGTTCCAAGCAGTAACAACAGCAGTAATGGAATGATCAGTCTCCTTCTTCTGCTTCTTCTTCACATTAGATTAAGCATGATATTGCTTACTTTGTCAGTGAAAGTTACACATATAGGGGATATCAGGTTGCATATGACCATGCTGTTGCAAGATGTGCTGTATATTCCCTCCTTTACTTTTAACATCATCTCTGCAAGCAAACTGACAAGACAGTCAAATTGTGAAATTGTTTTAAGAGCTAATTCTTGCAATGTTCAGGGGCACCGTGGGATAATGGATGGTTTTGCTAGAGTCAAGGATGGCTTGTATTTGGTTACTCAACCACCTGTTAAGAAGAAGGCTCAGTTGGCTAATAAAAGCTTTGACAAACATTGTAATAGCCTGTCTATAGATCTGTGGCATAATAGACTAGGCCATTACCCTGTGAATAAGATACATTTGTTGAAAGGAATAAAGTTTGCTCATTCTCATAAGGTAACTGATTTTGTGTGTGATACTTACTGTTTTGCAAAGCACAAGAAATCTAGTTTTCCCATTAGCACTGCTAGAGCTGAGAGATGCTTTGACTTATTGCATATGGATGTTTAGGGTCCCTTTGCTGTGGCATCACTTAAGGGTGATCACTATTTCCTAACCATTGTTGATGACCATAGTAGCTTCACATGGCTGCATTTGATGGCAAATAAATCACAAGTTAAGCCTATATTTCAGCAGTTCTACAACTATGTCCACACTCAATTCTCAACCAAAGTTAAAATGGTTAGAACAGACAATGGAGGTGAATTTTTGATGAGTGCCTTTTTTAATGAAAAAGGAATTATACATCAAAGTTCATGTGCATACACACCCCAACAGAATGGGGTGGCAGAGAGGAAACACCAACATATTCTAAATGTTGCCAGGGGGCTTAAATTTCAATCTGGATTACCTGATGCTTTTTGGGGTCATTGTGTCCCTCATGCCTCTTTTCTTATAAACAGGCTGCCTACTGATGTCCTCAATGGCAAGTCACCATTTCAGATACTGCTTGGGAAGGAGGTGGATTACAATCAACTAAAGTCTTTTGGCTGCTTGTGTTTTGCAGCAACCACATCTCAAGGAAAAAACAAAATGGGATCAAGGGCCAGGAAGTGCATCTTTCTGGGATTCCCAGCTAACATTAAAGGATATATAGCATATGATATTGCTGACAAAGTTGTATATGTTTCCAGGGATGTGCAATTTCATGAACAAATTTATCCTTTTAAAAGGACATGAGAGTTTCACACCAGAAACATTCACCCCTACACTGCCTCTCATTCCTATCTCCATTGAAGCAGAAGACATATCATTGGATCTAGCAAGGAGATATGACAATACTCCAGTCAGGTCTCACACTGGGAGCAGACTTTCTGAGGATAATCATGTGACTCCTCACAATAATATCTACATGGATGACCTTCTGGTGGATCATCACACAGATCAACCAGAATCCAGTGCTTAGTCTCTGAATCAGTCTGCTGAGCAATCTATTTTCAATAACCAATCCCCCAACAATCAATCTACTGAGCAACCTGATCCTGATCAGCCACAACTCAGATGATCCTTAAGAGTGAGACAGATTCCCACCAGGCTGCAGGATTATCTCTGTCAGACTACTATGGCAAGTAGCACAGAGATCAGAACATCACCCCACTCTATGGATAAATTCTTATCCTCTGATAATCCATCTCCAAATCACAAAGCTTGTGTTGCCTCAATTACTTCTGTACATGAACCCCAATCCTATGAAGAAGCAGTGCAGAGTGAGGACTGGAAAATGGCTATGCAAGCTGAGATAGAAGCTTTAGTCCAGAACAACACTTGGGTGATAATAGATTTGCCACCAGGAAAACTTCCCATTGGGTGTAGATAGGTGTATAAGGTGAAGCATAAAGCAGATGGCTCTATAGAAAGATACAAAGCCAGGTTGGTTGCTAAGGGCTACACTCAACAGCTAGGTGTGGATTACATAGAAACTTTCTCTCCAGTGGCCAGAATGACTACAATTAAAACATTTCTAGATGTGGCCATTGCAAAAGGTTGGGATATTCAGCAACTTGATATCAACAATGCCTTTTTACATGGGGATTTGGATGAAGAAGTCTACATGGCCTTACCACCAGGTTTTCAAAGTGATAAACCTACTCAAGTTTGCAGGCTGCTAAGGTCTTTGTATGGTTTGAAACAAGCCAGTAGACAGTGGAATGTCAAGTTGACTAGAGCCTTGCAGAATTTTGGCTATAAACAGTCACCAGCAGATCCCTCCCTATTCACAAAGCATTCAGAAAATTTCCTTACTGCCTTACTTGTATATGTGGATGACATCTTGGTGGCAGGCACAGACTCTACTCAAATTCATGAGTTAAAACAGCTATTGGGCAGATCTTTCAAGATCAAAGACCTTGGCCACTTGAACTATTTTTTGGGTATTGAGACCTTTAGAGATTCCAGTGGGCTCAATATCTGCCAAAGGAAATATACTCTTGAAATTCTGGAAGAAAATGGCTTCTTAAAAGCTAAGCCTACCAAAACTCCTTTCACTACAGGTCAGAGACTTAATAGCCTTGAAGGCAGCTTACTTGAACATCCAGAAACTTACAGAAGATTGGTTGGAAAGCTCTTGTACCTGACCAATACAAGGCCTGACATATCCTATGATGTTCAGCAGTTAAGCTAGTTTGTAAGCAAGCCAAGAGATTCTCATTTAACTGCTGCTCATAAGGTCCTAAGATAACTGAAAGGGTCACCTGGGAAAGGCCTTTTTTATTCGTCACACTCATGCTCTAAATTACAAGGTTTTGCTGATTCAGATTGGGCTACTTGTATTGAGAGTAGGAAATCTATTACTGTCTATTGCATTTACTTTGGCACCTCTCTAATTTCTTAGAAAACCAAGAAACAGGCTACTGTGTCAAGGTCATCCTCAGAAGCTGAGTATAGAGCATTAGCTTCTACTATATGTGAAGTACAATGGTTACTATATCTGCTTGTAGATTTGAATGTACAGGTTGACAGTCCTGTGGTTTTGTTTTGTGATAACAATTCTGCTATTGCCATTGGAGAAAATCAGGTGTTTCATGAACGCACCAAACATATTGAAATTGACTGTCATGTGGTCAAGCAAAAGGTCAGTGCAGGAATGATCAAATTGCTAGCTGTTTCTTCACATAATCAAACTGCAGATGGCTTCACCAAGGCTTTACCTAAGCCAGTTTTTTATGTTTTTTGTTCTAAGCTAGGCCTTCAAAATCTTCATGCTCCAGCTTATGGGGGGGGGGGGTGACAAAGTAAGCAATATCATGCTTAATCTAATGTGAAGAAGAACCAGAAGAAGGAGACTGATCATTCCATTACTGCTGTTGTTACTGCTTGGAACCTAAGGGCTTTTAGGTCTTTTCCTAGTAGTTAGTTATAACTGCTTTTGCCTCCTTTTTCCTTGTATAAATAATGAGTTGTGTTCAGTTCAGAAGGATTGATATTCATTCTTCTCTTCTCATCACCATTGTAAACATTGAGAGCTCAATGCACTCTACTGTTCTTTCCTCTTCCATACAGCATGAACTAAGCTAAACTCAACAATTTTGTATTATAACTTTGATATTTAATTACAAGAAAATGTAAAAAGAAGACAATGGACAATGTAGTGAATATATAGTAAATTAATAAATTTGAAGGTAATGAATATTTGAATTGTAGAAAATAAAGATAATATAACTAATTGTTGTAATTTGTTGTTTGTGCCCGTTGGCCTATCAACTCTTAACCGGTGAATTGCAGGGTAATTTGCATGGTAATACACTGGAAATAGTAAGTAATCTTAGAATATAAGAGATAGGGAAGAAAAGAGAGTAAGAATTCCATTTTGCCAACTAAGCTTATACATCTTACAAGAGATTATATATATAATAATAATACTATAACGGGAAACATAAATGGGAATTTAAATATGTCCGTTACATAATAATGTCCACTAAGTACATATATTTATACCACTCCCCCTTGGACATTATTTGACTATGATCTTACCTCGTTAAAAACTTGTTAGGAAAATCCTGTGGGAAAAACTTAGACAAGAAAAGAGTACAAGGTGTATGAATAATATATTTGAATACATTCATTCCTCATTAAAAATTTCACTAGGCAAACCACGTGGAAAAAAATCTAGTTGAAGAAAAGAGTACATGATATTTGCAAAATCATATATGGTACTGATTGGCTCATTAAAAACCTTAACTTAAGAAAGCCATGTGGGAAAAAACTTAGTTAAGGGAAAAAGAGTACAACCGTAAGCCTTCAGGGCATAATCTTCAGGATTTCAGGGTTCGTCTATTTAAGTATTTATTTATTTGCAACTCCCTCATTGACATTACTATATCATACTCATGTCTCGTTAAAAACCACACTAGAAAAACCCAATGGGAAAAACCTAGTGAGGAAAAGAGTACATGGTATGTATATGTTGCAAAAAGCACAATTGTTAGTCTTTTAAGAGCCAATCTACAAGATTGATTCAAGTGAATGTACTTTCCGTCTCCCCTTGAAGATAACGATCTTCAAGTTCTACAAAGCTTAAAGTAAAGTCATTGTTTGAATAGAGTATAGAGAGGGGATATAGTACAATCTTCAGGATTGTCATTAGAATTTATCATATTTCTCATGATCATCTGAACCAATAAAATTACTTATATTTTATATTTTGTTGCTCCCCATGAAGACAAATAATTTTCTTAACCTACGCACATCAGTCTTATGGATATTTTGTAGGTATACATTTGCTAACTTGTCACTAGAGCAAATCTTCTAGATAAATATTTTATCACTCTTCTGGAGTTCATGTGGATTAGGATATTTTATATCATGAAAACTATATACGTTTTTATTTGTCCCAAGTATGATGACTTCATATCAAAAAGCATCAATATGGATATTTGTACCTTGATTTACTATTCCTTATCTCATCTCATAACTTAACAGTCGTTATGACAAAGCGAGATCATATTAAAGTGATGACGAGATGAAAATATACAAAGTATATCTATAAGAACAAGTGTTATCATTTAGGCTTAAGATGCTTAAAGCTTAAATTGATATCAATTCAAGTCATGCCATTTAACATAATGTCAATATTCAAATGACTTCTCAAAAGACGTATTTTATACCTTAAGGATATTAATGGATACTATTTAACATCATTTCCCTTTCTTTCTAGGAGAATCACCAAATCACTCTTTACAAAATAAGATGCGAATTTGGGAATTTTCGGTCTCAACGAAAAGGTATTCAAAAAATGACGTTCTGAAGTAGCGGACTTCTGGTCCTGAATTATCCTTTTAGGTAAAAATGATATTTATCTACTTCGGGAAATTATTTGGACATAGACTAAATAGTATGTGAAATTTCATTTTAAGGAAATGCTCGATCTACAGGTCGATAATACTTGATTTTCCATCTCCTTTATTTTACAATAAGCCCCTTAATAAATACCTAATGGTACATATTCATTTCTATAATTTCCTATTTTAAGAGGAAATTACTCAATCAACCGCTTCACTATTTTAAGTTAAGCAAAACATTTGTACTTCAACAACAAACATGTTGTGATATTTACTTTCTTTCATTTTTTTAGAATTATAAATCCATCAAGGATTTTCAGATAAACATTAGTGTCTAATGACCCATACTTTCTAGGTCATGACTTTAATAAGTTGCATATCTAAATTTATTATTCTGTCAATTATGTAGCGGAACTTTTAATGATATTCATCATGGGAGAGTATACTTAATTATGGGTTTCTGCGTGAACTCTTAGGCTACAGACTCACTTTATATCTCACCACCTTATCATGCATTCTTGTTTTTCCTTCATACAAACACCATTTGTAACCAACATTGTTAATACTTCAATGGTGTATAAAAGGAATATATTAGCGAGTTGAACTATTTATGCCTTTAATTGCTCTCTTTATACGTTAATCAATCTAGGCGCTTCTGGCACCTAGCACTGGATCTAGATTGTCATATAATGAGCAATTTTGAAGGCAATTGTGTTGTCGACAACTTATAACATTTTTCAAGAATTTCTCCCATATATATATAAAAGTAATTTTTGAAGTTAATCAGATTATAGCCATTTCCCAAAGATATTTATATCTGGTTGTTTCGCAACCCAATATTATGATTATTTGGTGCACCTATAAATTTACTGGGTTTTCTCGTCGTCTGAACGATTGTCTTAAAGATATAACGTTTTAAGAATTTTCAAGAGCTCTTAAGATTTTTAGGAGTGACAAAGATTCATTACTAGATCTAGTTGTTTGTGGATTCTTTATTTTTCTATACCAATGAATCTCCCGCACTTCTGGCGTTAAGGAGTATCGATAGATATATATGGTCCAATTTTGGAGAATGTGTATAGGACCTAGTCACTCTTTTATGAAGTAAATTTATTTGGCAGATTTCTTTCTGAACTTCTAGTTCAATCTAATTGGTACGTGGATTTAATTTTTGAAGATCATTTCGTTTCACGAAATTTCTCGGCATTCTATTTAAATTTGATCATACCTCCCCCTAATGCCGTGAATTGATCTTCATGTAGCGAGCGTATCCATCGCGACTCTTTCAGGGGCTTTAGGTGTAGATGGATACTTTCTAGTTGTTATGTAATAGATTGGACTGCATTCATAAAAATAGAAACGCAGATTTGGGAAATGTTTGTTTTGAAAACCACGTATTAGATGTAAGGGGGAATAATGATATGCAGTGTTCCGGATTTTAAGATTTAAAGCAGCAGCATGAATACTGCATTTCCCCAACAAATATCCGGCAAATTGGATTTTTGAAAAAATAAATGGTCTAGCAATAAGTCGTAACGCTATTAATTAGCTAAACCATTTGGGTATGGGCATAAGGTACTTGATGCTCCGCCTTAATGCTCAATGTCATATAGTAATCGCCGAAAACCGGACGAAGTTAATAGGATAATCCCGGGAATTGGGCATTCAACTTAATGATTTGGCTCATGAATTTTGCAAATGTCATGTTTCGAGTGGACAGCAGACACACATGTGCCCATCGGGTGGAAGCATCGATCAGGACCATGAAATACCGAAATGGTCCAGGGGAATGATGAATTGGTCCACAAATGTCACCCTGTAACCTTTGCAAGAAATTATATCTTTTTTTAAATTTTTTATAATGAATAATTTTTTTTTAAATAAAGGCATTATAGACATCTAATTCTAAATTAATTAAAGAGTTAATACCACAAATGGTCCTCTCATTATTGGGGTAGTACTCCATTTAGTCCTCGACTTTCAATTCGACCACAATAGATACCTTGACTTTCATTTTTAACCACTTATAGTCTTCCGTTAGAATTTCTATCAATGAGTGTTAAATGTAAGGGCATAATCGTCAAATCAAAACATATGCTTTTAGGAGTGGTACTCGTAGCGCATTGTGTGACGCCGGCGAGATCGGAGGCAAAAATCCAGCCATGTGTTTTTAGCTAGAGTGACAATGCATAGTTGGTAACTCTGGAAAGACAACATCCATGGCTTCAGGTTGTCTCGCTACCATGATTTCGTTCTCCATTCACATAAGAGAGCTCTTAGTTCTCCATTAACAGTTTTAAAATTCGTAAATTGCAATTAAGAAGACCCCAATAATCACATGAACAAAATTAAAATTTACTCTAAATTTAAATCTTCGTTTCAGAGTCAACTGCATCACTAGGTAATGGAAAATGACAGTGGGGACAAAAAAAAGCTATAAACTTAGACTTTCTTGCTCGTCCATTCCCAACACATCACTTTGGACCTCTCTCCACTATAAAAGAAGCTCCATCATTCGCATTGCTTCACCAACCCAATTTTCTTCTTCACCTACTAGTATTTCTGCATATTTATACACCTAACTTTTTTTTTTTAAATAAAATTATATACACCTAACTTTATTTGCCACTTATTCTTTCCAAATAGTTAACCCCAACCTTAAGGGCCCCCTCACCCTAGTCCGACAAAGCATCTGGAATTTATTTGCCTCTTATAATAAGCTCTCTAGTTTTGTGTTGCTCCAAGAATATAGAATAAAGGTTACGTATTTGTACCTAAAAGGCAGGGGCTGACCCCGAAAACTTTTTTTAATGGGGGCAAGTATTAAAACAAAAAATATAGTTTAAAAAAATAAAAAGAAAACACTTAGGAAGCATAGGTATAAATATTGTTTTTTTTTTTTTTGAAGGTCAACCACTGAATGATTGTATTAATGAATCAAAGCTGCAATGCAGTCAGGAGGGATAGAATCCCAGTACATAGCTTGATCCTGAATAAAAGCTAACGAAGCTAGAGTATGCGCATGCGCATTAATCTGCCTAGAAACATGGTTAACTAAGACATAATTAAATGACGAAATTAAACTCCTACACTGATCAATTACTACTCCAGCATAGGACATTATATCTGGTGTACTCTGCCGTATCGCATTCCTCACCTGCAAACAATCTGTCTCAATTGTTACTGTTGTTATACTTTTCTCCAAAAGCCAGGATAGAGCTTCCTTACATGCCAATGCCTCCACCATGAATGGTGATAAAGAATTCGGTAGTCTCCCATTTTTTGCTGCAATAAACGATCCCTCCGGAGACAGTAGCACAATACCATATGTAGCTTCTCCCGTGTCGTCCCTGTACCCTGCATCTACATAGCATCGTGGGGCGGTTGTGGCGCCGGTTTCCGCCGTGGCCACGGGCGGCGTTGTCGTGCCACGGGTCCCGTTTTGGCGATAAGATTGTAATGCCGCCGTGGCTTGCCTCCAAACCGCCATAGGGCGTGGTTGTGTGCCATCCCATACTGCCGAATTTCTGCACCTCCATAAGCAGTAAAGCAGAGCCACCACCGCTGCACTTTGGTCCTCTGTGAACATTGTAAGCACAATTGTTAGCCACTCGGGGAATGAGTTGCCAACAATATTTGTTATTGGCAATCCTGAAATATTCCACACATGTCTAGAATAATCACAATTGATGAATGTATGCATAACATTCTCATGTTCCAATCCACACATTTGGCATGTCGGATCCACATCCACCCTCTTTATAATCAAATTGTTAGTTGTTGGAAGAATATCACCGATTGCTCTCCACAAAAAAGTCTTCCATTTCGGGGGAATTTTCATTCCCCATATTTTAGTCCATTTCTCAAAACTCCCAGGCGGGGGCTCATAAACTCCCATAAAGTGTTTGTAGGCATTTTTTACTGTATATATTCCATTGGGATCTCCAGGCCAATACCACGAGTCCTCATATCCTGGACTAACAGGTATCCTCAATATTCTATCCACGTCCTGCTCCTCAAATAAGTCTGTTAAAATATGTGTGTCCCAGTAACAGTTTGTTCATTTATTAAACCTGCCACTTTAGCATGCCTGAGTTCCTCAGGCATATCAGTTTGTATCAAGGGGCTAGGATTATCAGGCAACCATGGGTGTCCCCAGATTAGTGTTGTTTTACCATCCCCAATTCTCCTGCGTACCCGCGCCACTACCATATGATGAGCTGCCATAATACTTCTCCATGTGTGACTCGGGTTTCCTCCCACTTTGGCATCGACAAAAGTGGTATTCGGGTAGTATCTTGCCTTATAGACTTTTGCAACCAGCGTGTCCGGACTTGTGAGTAGGCGCCATGCCTGTTTTCCCAACATTGCTAAATTAAAATTCCTCAGATCTTTGAAACCCATTCCCCCATACTTCTTTGGTATACTCAATTTATCCCAGGCTTTCCAGTGTATTCCCCCATTCATACCAGTGTGTAACACCCCTGATTTTCAAGACATTTAAAACTTAATAATAAAGGTAACATCTCATTAAATCCCAAAACGTAACATAAGTGTACGGGGTGCTATGCCACACCTGGGCTAGAGAACCCAGGTGCACAGGCTATCTAACTACTATCCTCTGAAATATAAATGCATAATATGGCACGCAGGCCGAAAGGGAAACTATACTACTTCTACGCTCCAGTTCTAGCGCGCTCCAGTGCTCTAATCCTTTGTGCCTGAAAGCCAAATATATCTGTTCAGCGAGAGATGCTGGTAACCCACTCCAACGCGTTGAAATACAATACATATAGCAATATATATATAGATATACGAAAACCATTTTGAGCATGAGAATATATCCTACGAACTCTAGCTTTAAAACCGGGAATGACTCGACAGATAAGGCCAGACACAAGCAGCAGTTATGCAGTTCACAACAGATAAGGCAGATAGGGCAAAGCATAACAATAATCATAACCCAACATGAACAATCCCCAAAATAAATCCCATAGTCACATCCCCCAAGACACTCATAATCACCACTCATCCATATCACAACACATAACACACTTTGTTGGCGCCACAGGACCAATCGCATGCCCATACATGAGGGTCAGCGCATATAGCTCTGACACGGCCCCGCAGCACCCTGCCCCGTATCGCAACACGGAGGGGTCGATCGCAACCGACCGATGAACCGCAGCTCATAAGAATGTGTAATCTGACTGTAGCCAGGAATTCCCATCTGACTACAGCCAGCCTCCGAACCGCAGCTCGGGAAAGAGTCATCTGATTGCAGCCAGGAATTCCCATCTGACTACAACCAGCTTCTGGACCGCAGCCCAGGATACCGTCATCCGACTACAGCCAGGAATTCCCATCTGACTGTAGCTGGCTTCTGAACCGCAGCTCAGGAGTAACCAATCCGATCGCAACCGAATTGGGACAACACGCACACATAACACATAGCAAGCACATGCAACCCACATTACACATTAGGAAGGGGGAGAAAACGTATAATAAAACCTATGCGTGATCCATCACTTACTAAGAATAGTCCTAAAGGGTTCATACTCCTTCCACCTAGGTCAACGGGATACCAATTCAACTAGCATGCAATATAATAGACTCATAAACCTATGAACGGTACCCGAAATATCAACTAGACATAGGCACGACAAACGGGGTCCGTTGGGACACCACGGGGGTCGGGGAAACATCAAACGGGGAAGCCGAGGTCCCGAGTTGGGGAAAATTCCAGCGGGTAGCCGGTGGGTGGTGGGCCACCCGCCGGCCACCCGCCAGTTTCTACTGTTCCGGCAGCGGGTCGCCGGCGGGCAGCTGCCCGCCCGCCGGCCGCCCGCTGCCAGACGGCGGTTTACGGCAATGGGTAGGTGGCGGGTCCCCTACCCCCCACTGACTCTTTTCACACACGTTACGCCCCGGGAACCATTATGGAACCCGAAACCATGCTTAGACACTCTATAATGCAATTAACGACAACACGTAGACAATTAACGGATCAAATACGAGAAACGAACGGCACATAACCTATCATGCTTTTCTAAACATAATCAACACCCAAACATGCGAATTCCCACCCGATAATCCAAGAATAAGATCATACGATACAACCTAGGGTTCTAATCACTTCTATATCAACGAGAATACGATTCATCTTCTAGTTGCAAGGTTCGGTAAGAATAACACATAAACATCGAGGATGCCAATTAATCATCAAGAACATCATAATCATCAAGAACAACACATAATCATCAAAATCCCAATTAATCATCAAGAACATCATAATTATCAAGAAACTCCCAATATCAAGATTATCAAGATTCCCCATGGAATCATCAAATCAACATCAATAATAATTACCATAATTTCGCCATTCACAATAATATGGGGGAAACCCTAAGGGGAAATCATAGCTATGAAAATAGGTTTTGTTGAGACATGGGTTACCTCTTAGCCTTAATTAATTCCTTGGCTATGAAGGGTCTTTCTTTAAGCTTTCTTGCTTTCTTGATTTCTTCTAAGGGGATTCTTGGAGCACTTTGGGGTGGTGGAACGTTTATTATGGTGGGGGGTTCTAGGTGCCTCTTAAGTCCCCTATTTATATATTTAAGAGTCCTGGTTAGGAACTAATATTATAGGCTTGCTAATTCTATTCCTTTTGGAACTAAGGATTGGGTTTAGGGTATCGTAGTCTGAATAGTAAAAGGCCTACTTCCTTTATTCCTAATAGGCTTAGGACTCTAATTTTGGCAAGGGTCCACGGTTCATGGTGGACCTTTATTAATTAATTAAAGGAAACCTAACCGAATTAAATCATATTTAATTATTATTAACGGGATTAATTTAATAATTAATCCGGGATTGAAGGCCGTAACACGGGGTGTTACACTCTCCCCCCCCTTACGAGAAGCTTCGTCCCCGAAGCTTGGAAATCATTGCAGGGTTAACGAGTCAAGAGAAGAACCGTGGTCCTATAGAGAAGGTATTTCACGGGGAAATTGTATACTTGCACGCCTATGTGTGTTGGGTTTTTGGGAGCGATTAGGTTTTACAAGGTTAAGAGAGTGGGTTTCAAACTTGAGGACACGGTGAATTCAGGAATTAGGATCAAGTTTTCGAGATTGCAACTTTGGTTGTGAGGTTTCCACTTGTATGGAATCGTTAAAACATGGGATTGAGAATGGGGTCTGAAGGGTAGAAAGGGTTTTGAAATAAGGAAGGGACCGATTTTCCGAGGGAGGGAAAGGAATTCGGCTAGGATGGGTTAAGGTTTCTCGATCCCAAGTGAATAATCTGGTTAGATGCTTTGATCACGATGCGCCGACGAGCTGATGATCCTCCTTCCTTGGTGTTGGTGCTTGCTTGACTTTAAGATCCTTGTTAGACCTTGCTTCCCAGGCTAAGGTGTCATCCTTCTCTTCTTTCTCGAGTGAATTTCCCGTGGTGATTCAACACTTACTTCTTTAATGCGCCCAAGGTCTTGACCGAGTTGGGTCAACCAAGCCAATCTCTTAGGGTGCATTTCCCAAATTCTCCCCAAAGTCTCTTGGGAGTCGATGGATTTTGGGTTGAATTTCTCTTCTTATTGAATTTCATCTCCTCTTTAGTGGATGAAATTCTTAGTAAGACTTCATGTCTTACCCGAGGTTCAGCATTGTTGTGCCCTGTTTGTGTTATTCTTAATGATGAAGGTGTCCTTGCGTGCCCTTTTTCTTTTAAAGCGCAGTCGGTTACCAAATCTCGTTGTGGGATGACTCGGCGAATTTACGAGTCACCCCATCTCCTTGTAGGTCCTTAATGACCCTTGAAGTCTTGGTGCGAAATGTGTTCTTCACCCTTTTGCTTAGCACCATGGGATACGTAGTTCTTGATTCCATACAACTTGTAAGGAGTCCTCTGATTTGCTCGAACGATGTCCATGGTTTGGAGGAGTCCCGATCCCTCCTTAGCATTTGACTTTTAAGGTTTTCGTGGGTTCTTAGTACGAGTTCCCAACTCGCCTCCTTGGTTTGCGCAATCCTTTACGCCAAACATCCCTAGTCGGTTGTATCGTAGGATCCGATTTCAATTACTCGTGCAATGTAATTGATTGTGATTTCCCGATGGTGTCTCGTGCGTCAAGGTCTTTTACGTAGGACACTATGTTTAGGTGGTCCATGGTTCCTTACCCAAGACTCACATTCCTCAATCGAGGCACACAAGTGCGCCACAAATCAATAAAATGAGGGGTTAAGAAATCAACACATTGTACCAGTGGGCGCGAGGTGGGCGGTCGTCCGCCTGCCAAGCTCCTGCCAAGGACCCGCCAAGGTCCCGTCAAGGACCCGTTGGGGACCCGCGGGAAAGTGACTAGGAATAGTCAATTCCTTCGGGAAAGACCCCAAAAATGCACAGATTCATGTCCTGACAAGTCCCATGCCCTTGTGCACAATAAAAGGGACTTGGATACATAGGATGACCCATCGTACAATGTTCATTGATCCTTAAGCACGAGTTCTAGAGGTAGATATACATACATATATATATATATATCTATGTTTTCTTGGTCTGGGTTTAAAGGGGTGTAAGGAGTGCAAGGGCTAGGTTTCAAAGTCGAGGGGCGGATATGGTCGATGTCTCAAGGTCGTAATACAGGAAGGAAGGTTGCCACCTTGTACGGGTTCGTCTGTAATGAGGGATCAAGAGCGAGGTTTGGAGTGATAGGATGGATTCTTTAACGAAATGGTACTTGATTGGCAAGGGGAGGGAAAGGGGCTAAGGACTCTTGGCTTTGAGTGATTATGCCTGTTTGGGGCTTGGTTTTGGCGTGCAGTCGAACTGGTGATCCCTTTCCCTTGGCTTTGTTTGATTCTAAGATTTTCGTTTGATCTTCTCTTCCCGTGTCGAAGTCCCCTTCGTTTCTATGGTTTCCAGGGGAATTCTCGTGATGGTTTCCGTGCACGTTCCCCTCGGATGTCCAGAAGTCTGGACCCAGTCGGTTTAGTGGGTCAAACCCCTAGGTCTTGACTCCTAATCCTCGCCGAGGGTTCTTAAGGGTAAGGGGGGTTTCGGGTTAGTCTTTCTTGTTCTATTGGGTTTCATCCCTTCCTTGGTGGATGAAATTCTTAGCAAGGATTTATGTCCTCCTCGAGGTTCGGCCTGTTGCACCTATTTGACGATGTTTTCTGTAGCGAGGGCCCCTGACACATTGAACGTATTTGTTTGCCCGCTCTTGTCAACGCATGGCGTTCTTCGGTGGCGTACGTACAGGCTATGGTTTCTCGTGAAGCCTTCACGGTTTTCATGCAAGGGTGGGGTGATACGCATTCGTAACCTCCACCTACTTCGCCGATTCCCATCTAACAACTTATTTTAATATTGAATCAATGAATGTCGGTTCTTCACGCCCCTGGGCAGGGTAAGGGCCTTATGCTGCTCTACGTTTTTAACAGGGTTTCCAAACGGAGTGGGGATAAGAGCTTAGAGTAAGGGCAAACAATTTAGGGTTTCCGAGGGTTTGGGTTAAGCGTAACAAAGGGTGAGCAAGGTCATGACGGTTGCGAATTTTCTCTTAAGGTAATTAAGGATTTGGGGTGGGTGTTTTCAACAAATAGGGGTATCAAGATGCTGGGGTTTCAGGGCGGATGATATTTTAAATTGGGGTGGTGGGGTTGCAAGGTGTCGCGATGTACTTACCTTGCACCCAAGGATTCGACTAATGGTGTCGTTCCTTTGCTTCTTTAATAGGTGTCCTAGTTCTCCTTCCTGTTTGTTGTAGCCGCAACCCGGGTTCGCCGAGATAAGGCAACTTGTCGGAAGGTGCATGTCATTTGTCTGACTCGGGGGTTATCGTGGTTATCCTGGGATGGTGCGTATTGCAGTCCGTCCCCTTAGCAGTCCTGACTGTAACGCCTCTTCTTAGTAGTCATCCAAATCTTCCTTTTCTTTGGTCAGGGTCCTTGTCAAGTCTTTTGACGGGAGTTAGGACGAGGCGATTTATCGGGTAAGTGTACGTTACCCAGTTGTGGAAGTAAACTTATCTATTCGCACCCTTACCTGGTGTGGTAAGCGTAGGGGGAGGTTCCTTTAAGTTAGAGAGGGATGAAGTGAGGGGAGGTTATGTGTAGGTTTCACAATCTCACTGCGCGTCCTAAGATTCTTGGATCCTATGTTCCTAAGTACCTAGAGTTCAAGCCTAGTGTCCTAAAGTCCGGTCTTAAGAGTCTTATCCTAGGTCAAACTTAGGCTCTGATACCAACTGTAACACCCCTGATTTTCAAGACATTTAAAACTTAATAATAAAGGTAACATCTCATTAAATCCCAAAACGTAACATAAGTGTACGGGGTGCTATGCCACACCTGGGCTAGAGAACCCAGGTGCACAGGCTATCTAACTACTATCCTCTGAAATATAAATGCATAATATGGCACGCAGGCCGAAAGGGAAACTATACTACTTCTACGCTCCAGTTCTAGCGCGCTCCAGTGCTCTAATCCTTTGTGCCTGAAAGCCAAATATATCTGTTCAGCGAGAGATGCTGGTAACCCACTCCAACGCGTTGAAATACAATACATATAGCAATATATATATAGATATACGAAAACCATTTTGAGCATGAGAATATATCCTACGAACTCTAGCTTTAAAACCGGGAATGACTCGACAGATAAGGCCAGACACAAGCAGCAGTTATGCAGTTCACAACAGATAAGGCAGATAGGGCAAAGCATAACAATAATCATAACCCAACATGAACAATCCCCAAAATAAATCCCATAGTCACATCCCCCAAGACACTCATAATCACCACTCATCCATATCACAACACATAACACACTTTGTTGGCGCCACAGGACCAATCGCATGCCCATACATGAGGGTCAGCGCATATAGCTCTGACACGGCCCCGCAGCACCCTGCCCCGTATCGCAACACGGAGGGGTCGATCGCAACCGACCGATGAACCGCAGCTCATAAGAATGTGTAATCTGACTGTAGCCAGGAATTCCCATCTGACTACAGCCAGCCTCCGAACCGCAGCTCGGGAAAGAGTCATCTGATTGCAGCCAGGAATTCCCATCTGACTACAACCAGCTTCTGGACCGCAGCCCAGGATACCGTCATCCGACTACAGCCAGGAATTCCCATCTGACTGTAGCTGGCTTCTGAACCGCAGCTCAGGAGTAACCAATCCGATCGCAACCGAATTGGGACAACACGCACACATAACACATAGCAAGCACATGCAACCCACATTACACATTAGGAAGGGGGAGAAAACGTATAATAAAACCTATGCGTGATCCATCACTTACTAAGAATAGTCCTAAAGGGTTCATACTCCTTCCACCTAGGTCAACGGGATACCAATTCAACTAGCATGCAATATAATAGACTCATAAACCTATGAACGGTACCCGAAATATCAACTAGACATAGGCACGACAAACGGGGTCCGTTGGGACACCACGGGGGTCGGGGAAACATCAAACGGGGAAGCCGAGGTCCCGAGTTGGGGAAAATTCCAGCGGGTAGCCGGTGGGTGGTGGGCCACCCGCCGGCCACCCGCCAGTTTCTACTGTTCCGGCAGCGGGTCGCCGGCGGGCAGCTGCCCGCCCGCCGGCCGCCCGCTGCCAGACGGCGGTTTACGGCAATGGGTAGGTGGCGGGTCCCCTACCCCCCACTGACTCTTTTCACACACGTTACGCCCCGGGAACCGTTGTGGAACCCGAAACCATGCTTAGACACTCTATAATGCAATTAACGACAACACGTAGACAATTAACGGATCAAATACGAGAAACGAACGGCACATAACCTATCATGCTTTTCTAAACATAATCAACACCCAAACATGCGAATTCCCACCCGATAATCCAAGAATAAGATCATACGATACAACCTAGGGTTCTAATCACTTTTATATCAACGAGAATACGATTCATCTTCTAGTTGCAAGGTTCGGTAAGAATAACACATAAACATCGAGGATGCCAATTAATCATCAAGAACATCATAATCATCAAGAACAACACATAATCATCAAAATCCCAATTAATCATCAAGAACATCATAATTATCAAGAAACTCCCAATATCAAGATTATCAAGATTCCCCATGGAATCATCAAATCAACATCAATAATAATTACCATAATTTCGCCATTCACAATAATATGGGGGAAACCCTAAGGGGAAATCATAGCTATGAAAATAGGTTTTGTTGAAACATGGGTTACCTCTTAGCCTTAATTAATTCCTTGGCTATGAAGGGTCTTTCTTTAAGCTTTCTTGCTTTCTTGATTTATTCTAAGGGGATTCTTGGAGCACTTTGGGGTGGTGGAACGTTTATTATGGTGGGGGGTTCTAGGTGCCTCTTAAGTCCCCTATTTATATATTTAAGAGTCCTGGTTAGGAACTAATATTATAGGCTTGCTAATTCTATTCCTTTTGGAACTAAGGATTGGGTTTAGGGATAAGGGTCCATGGTCCATAGTGGACCATATTAATTAATTAAAGGGAATCCTAATCGTAGTCTGAATAGTAAAAGGCCTACTTCCTTTATTCCTAATAGGCTTAGGACTCTAATTTAGGCAAGGGTCCACGGTTCATGGTGGACCTTTATTAATTAATTAAAGGTAACCTAACCGAATTAAATCATATTTAATTATTATTAACGGGATTAATTTAATAATTAATCCGGGATTGAAGGCCGTAACACGGGGTGTTACATAGTGCCCCACCAATACCTGTTCATTGTTCTCTGGATTGATAAACATACTGAATCCGGAATCAAAAAGACACTCATTGAAAAGGTAGGCATAGATTGTGCCACGCTTTTCAATAAAATCTCTTTTCCTGCCTGCGTCAGAAATTTCTTGTTCCAAGAGGTTATTCTTTGCTTTATCTTGTCCTCAATATATGAGAACACTGCTTTCTTGTTTCTTCCCACAAAAGATGGTAATCCCAGATATTTCCCAAAATTGGGTGCCTGGTCTACCTGCAAACAATTCGCCACCTCCTCCCTATCCTCCACACTGGTATTTCTGCTAAAGTAAATACTGGACTTACGATAATTTACCTTCTGACCTGAGAGTTCCTCATATCGTCTCAGGCACTGTTTAATTACTTCTGCTTCCCCATTATTTGCTTTAAAAAATAATAGGCTATCATCTGCAAAAAATAGGTGTGATATCTGTGGGGCGCCTCTGGCAACCCTGCAGCCATGTACCAAACCCGTCATTTGTGCTCTCTGCAGCAATGTAGACAACCCTTCCGCACATATGAGAAATAAATACGGGGACAAAGGATCTCCCTGCCGTAACCCCCTTGTTGGTGTTACACCCCCACTATTAACACCATTAATCAAGATGTTATACTGGACAGTAGTAACACACTGCATTATCAAATTAATCCACCGATCATCAAAACCCATTACCTCCAACATCCGTCTCAGGAACTGCCATTCCATTCTATCATATGCCTTGGCCATATCCAACTTCAAAGCCGCCCACCCCTTCTTCCACACTGCTTTCTATTCAAGTAATGCCCCACCTCCACAGCTATTAAAATATTATCAGTAATAAGTCTTCCAGGGATAAAAGCACTCTGGGCCTCAGAGATTAGGTTTCCCATAAGTGGTTTCATCCTGTTAGCAATTACCTTTGCCATGATTCTGTATAGAACATTACTCAGAGCTATTGGCCTCATATCAGCTACTGTCTCAGGCACATCTTTCTTTGGGATCAAGACTACATTAGTATCATTCAAACCCTCAGGCAGTGAGCCTGAATTCAGGTAATTCACAATAAACTCAGACACATCTCCCCCCACAATATCCTAATATTCCTGATAAAATCCTGGGTTCATACCATCCGGTCCTGGCGCTTTGTCAGGGAACATAGCAAACAAAGCACTCTTAACCTCTTCCAAATCAAACTGGCGGAGAAGCATAATGTTCTGCTCATTAGTCACACGGGGAGCAAAATTCTCGAGCATGGGATCCTCACATTCAGTACTCGATGATGTAAAAATAGCAGTATAATATTCCAAGACCACTTTCTTCATATTATCCCCCTCTACCCATGCACCCAAATCATCTTTTAATCTAGGAATATAATTTTTCTTTCTACGAGCAGAAGCGTACCTGTGATAGAATTTGGTATTGCAGTCCGCACCGCGCAGCCAGTGCTGCTTCGCCCGCTGTCTCCAAAATACGTCCTCCTGCATCTCCAACTGCAATAACCTTTCCTCAATCTCACGAAATTCGGCCAATGCTGCCGAATCCCGTCTGTGTCGTATCTCATCCTGCTCCTTCCTCAACTGCTTGATACGGTCACCAAATTTATGCCAATGTTCCCCACCCCACCGCATCAGCCTTCCCCCACAATGCTGCTGACAAATCAACAGCCCCTTATCCCTTCCATCCCGCCACGCTATCTCCACCACCCCCCGACATCCATCATCATGGACCCATGCCATCTCGAAGCGGAACCGTCTCGGTCCCCCATATCTACGACCACGCATTACCTCAGTGTTCAAAAAGAGAGCCGAATGATCAGATTTTCGGGTTAGAATATTCTCCACCCATGCCTCAGTATTCAGTGTAGTCCAGCGTGCAGACGCCAGCACCTTATCCAGCCTCTCCTCCATCCATTTATCAGTCCCCTTCCCTTTTTCCCATGTAAATTGATGACCTCGCATTGGCAACTGGACCAGGCCACAACTATGAATAGTGTCCCCAAACCCTCTCAACAGACTGTCCAGGTGTGGATTCCCCCCCCCCCCCCCCCCCCCCCCCCCCCTCTTCTCATGTTGGTACAACAAATCATTAAAATCTCCCAATGCCACCCATGGCAGTGTAGACTTATCCCTCAATCCACTCAACAATTGCCATGCTTCCCTGCGCCTATGTCTCTGTGGATACCCATAGAAACATGTCATTCGCCATATCCTCTCCCTTATAGCCACCTCCACATCCACATAATTCTTTGAGTAACTCAACAGCCTAGCAGTATTATTTTTCTTCCATAATAGTGCTAAGCCACCACCCCCCCTCACTAGATCTACATAGAATAGACCCTCGAAACCAATCTTAACTCGTAGTCTCTCTGCGTGACTCCGATCTACCTTTGTTTCCATTAGATAGACGAAATCGGGCTTCTTACGGGACACCATGTCCACCACCTCTCGAACTGTCTGTGGATTGCCCAAACCACGACAGTTCCAACTTATCGTACTCATTGAGACGGGCGGGCCTGACCACCAGGACCCGCCGTAAATCCGTTTTTTGAGAGCGCAAACATCACCACATCCCCCACATCCACCCTTACACTGCCACCACCATCACTCATCCCATCCCCCCTCCTTCTCTTCGCCGCCGCTATTACCACACCCTCACCTGCCCCCTCCTCCTCCGCAACCCCAACCCGTGCCCCTCCTTCACCCACACGTCCCCCTACCGCCGCTACCCCCACACTCCCCTCCCTCCTCACCCCACTTCCCCCTTTCCCGTCGAGTGGTCTTAACCACGGATCCCCCACCTGCCTTGGCCCACGGTTACCTCCCCCCGCCTTCAGGTCCGCCGTATAAGGAAATTTATCCGATGTGAGTCCCGATTTCCTTGCCAACTTACAGAACTTATAGGCATGTCCTAGTAAACCACAATAAAAGCAGAAATTATGTAAACGTTCATACCGAAAGTTTACCCAGCAGCTTGATTTATCTCGTTTAATCAGTTTCATCCTTCGTTTCAGCAGTTTTTCCACCGGTATAGCTACATGGACCCGGTGGAACGTTTTCCATGGTGCTCCTGGATAGCGATCATCAACTTTAACAAATGTGCCAATAAAGTTTGCCGCTTGTTCAAGAACCGCATCCGATGTATATCCCAACGGCAAATCATAAAGCTGTACCCACATATCCACCGACCTCAGTTCAACCGCTGCGGGTGTTACACCCGGTTCACTTTGTTTACAAACCAAGGTGCTATTCTCGAATGACCATGGCCCCTCATCGAGGACCCTCTGCATATCCGTTTCGTCATAGAATATGAACATAAATAGTCCCGGTTGGATCTCCGTAACATGCATTCCCCACACTGGTTGCCAAACCGAGGCCATCACCTGCCGCATATACTCCAACTTCACCACCTTCGTTGTCAGGAATCTCCCAACACACACCCACCGTTGCTCCTCCGCCTCCGCCACCACCCCGACTCCCTCCCCCACTGGCTCAAAACCAATTTCCTCTTCATCCTCAATCGCAATATCACCCCATCGCTGCGTTAGCCGCTCGATCACGTCGTCCGCTCGCTCGAGGACCGGTGGGTCCTCGTCACCACCATGCATTGCCGGACTCAACGTTGCTGGTTCCATTCTTCCGTACAGCTGCTAATTGTTCGATTGGGGATCACAAATCAAAGCTTTGGGCTTCTAGGAGTAACCCCTGCGCAATCAAGAATGCTTCAGGACCGTAGCAGCCGTATACGGACAAAACAAATAGTAATCCCTGCGCAATCGTATCAACTGCAAGAAGAAGCAGCTTCAATCGTTCGTATCATGATCAAGAAAAAACAAGAAACTCACGGAAACTCTAGGAGAAACCCTAGCAGAGAGGCAAAACCCTAGAGAGAATTTCTAGAGAGAGAATATTTAAAATTGGGAGGTATAAATATTGTTAGATATTGACGAAATATAAAATACATCAAAACTTTATAAAATAATCATAACAAAATATGAAACATAATTTCTTTGATAAAATGATTCGAATATAAAACATGTTATAAATCACACATCTCATTATTAAAAGAAAAGAGATAGTTTTTAAAAATAAATAAATAAAACACTTATGAAGCATAGCCATAAATATTGTTGAATATATTTGGATGAAAAATAAAAACATCAAAATTTTATAAAAATAATCATAATAAATCTCCTACGAGACTGTCTCACGGACCATCAACCGTGAGACCGGTCGGATTGTTCATAAGTATTACATTTGAATTTAAAACTATTACATTTTTCTCAAAATAAGTATTACAATTTCTCTCATGAGTAATAACTAATCAATTTATCATTGATTAATATTACATTTTTTTTCATAAGTAACTATTCAACTCTAATTCTCACCTTGCAACCAAACGTCTCGTAAAAGTGAAAGTAACAAAGAATTTATTTCTAATTAATATTACATTTTTTTTAGCATAAATATTTCACTTCCATTTTTTTAGCATAAATATTTCGAAGACCATGGCAAGGTCTTTGTATTCTGACGAAAACTTTGACTTGGACTTTGTCCGGACGAAGTCCACGGCAAGGTCTAAGGTCTTTGTCCTCTAACGAAGACTTTGCCTTGGTTTTTGTCTTGAGGTTTAGTGGCCTTTCTTTAGGAGTGTTTGGTTCAATATTTGCTTGGATCGTGGGCTTCATTGCCAAGGTGGGGATTACGAGCAGCTTTGTTGCGGTAGTAGTAGTAACAACAATTGTTAAATCAGGGACTAGAGTTAACCTTGCAAAATATGTTAACTATAGACTGATAAATTGTTAACAAACATATTGGTCCTGTTTGGTAAAAAATTGGTCTATAGGCTAATTTTGACTTATCTGACCACTATTAATTATATGATTTAGTTAAAATATCAACTGAAATGTTTGGTTTATTAGCTTTTTGTAACTCCAAAAGGCTAAAATTCAAAAAGCTACTCCAAGCAACTTTTTCAATTAGCTTTTTGAGAAAAGAAATTATACCAAACAGCTATCAGCTAACAGCTAATTTACCAAACAATTTTCTACAATCATCTAATGTTATCAACTATTTATACCCTCTAATTAACACAATCAGCTAACAGCAAACAGCTATCAGCTAACAGCCATTTTACCAAACAGAGCCATTATGTGTCTATAGTTAACATATTTTGTACTTACAATTAAAATTTTATGAGTTTGTTGGTATTATTTTATGTGTCTGTAGTTAACATATTATGTGCTTTCAATTTATTTATAGGTACATAAATAATTAACTGCAGGTACAAAATATATCAACTGCAAACATATAATTTTTATACTAGGGTCCACAAGGCAAGATGAACCATGTATATGGTATAACAATTGGACTGAAAGCATGTGGGCTAGATCCATAAATATCCCCTGGAAAAGTTTATATTTTATTCTGAAAGACCACTTGTAGTCTAATATTTCTATTATCTACTATACTAATAAGAGCCCAAGAGAATTAGGCCTATAATGGGTAGAAAAATGGTGGTCAAATTTTTTAATCAAATGAATGGTTCATATTGATCAGATTTTTATTTTCCTTTAGATTTTCAAATTTATTCTTAATGATTATTATTATCCGTTAACTTTTCCGTTAAATATTATCTTTTCTGTTAATTTCTGTTAGTTCACCGTTAACTTACTCATTGATTTCAATAAGAAAGGTCTTAGGTTCGAACCACATCCCAATCAAAGTTGGCATAACTAGTACTCTATTTTACTCTTATTAAATTAAATAATAATTTAGTAGCCACAACAAAAAATAATACATATGCATTTCTTTAATTTAGAATTATGTGTCTAGAATGCCTTTATTCAAAAAAAAAAAATTATTCATTATCAATAAATTAAATAAGAGAAATAATTTCATTAGTTATATTATCTTTATTTTTCTCCAATATAGAAATTATTTACATTCAAAATTCAAATTCATCAATTGATTATATTCGCTACATTGTCCCTACAATGTCTTTATTAAAAAAAATGTATTATTATCAATAAATTAATTAAGAGAAATAATTTCATTAGTTATATTATCTTTATTTTTCTCCAATGTAAAAAGTCTTTACATTCAAATTCATCAATTGATTATATATTCACTACATTGTCTATTATCTTTTTTGTGCACTATTTTTTAATTAAATATCAAAGTTATAATACAAAATAATTCTATATATTTATTTACCAAGTATGTTATTAATACCAAGAAATTTTTTTTTAAAAACTTAAATTAATAAAGCCAATTATATTAACTACTTGAGGGATTTGTTGACAAAGAGAGTATTCAAATCACACAACAAATTGAAGTGAGAAACTACCTCGCAATGTCCTTGTTTGACAATTAGCAGTTAGCGGTTAGCGTTAGCGGTTAGCGTTAGCGGATTTGACCAGCGAATTATATTAACAGTTGGTAAAAAGATATTTGAAAAAGTTAGATGTTTAAATTAACATTTAAAATGACCTAAAGGTATAATAATAACAATAATAATAATAATAATAATAATTAATAATAACAATAATAATAATAATAATTTTTTTTTTAATATAGATGTGTTTTGGGAAAATCGTTCTCAAAAACGTTAAGTGAAAATATTGTAAATTGCAATGTTTGTATTTTCAGTGGTTTGGAACAAATTGTTACTTCAAACTGTTGAATAACCAAAACACTTTCTTTATCATTTTGATCTTTGGGTTACATCATATTTACCAATGGTCCAATATCTTTGGGTTACATTATAATTAAAAATTTTAAATTTTTACTACATTTAAATTCCTTAAATTAGGAATTTCTTTATCCATAATAATTTATTCAACAATAATGGTTAAACTAAATAACACTGAGCAAAACATCTAAAGGGCTGGTACCGTTGATTCATTCATTGATCATGTATATATGTGCATTAATTAAATATATTAGAACCCTTTGCAACAAAAATACTTTTGGTTACTATTTAAAAAAAGTTTAGTAACAATTATAATGAATCTCTTATATTACATTGTATTAATATACTATAAATTACATATTTAAATAAACAAATTAGACATTAAATTACTTATGTTGAACTTCTCATATATAATCTTGCATTTATATACTTTCATATGTTTATTTAATTATAAACATTGGGTAGAAAAATTACCGTCAAATTATTAAATCAAATGAATAGTTCAGATTGTTTAGATTTTAATTTTTCATTGAGATTTCCTAATTTATCCTTAATTATATGATTATCCGATCCATTAATTTTTCCATTTAAGTACCGTTAATTCACGTTAGTCTAATTCTAATATTAAAGTCTAATATAGAATTATAACTACAACATTAATCTAATTCTAATATTAAAGTCTTAATAGAACTCTAACCACAAATCCTACAGCCGGAATCTCCTCAAACAATATTAGTATATATTTAATATTTTATGCTTTTATTTTTATTTGTTCTTCCTTATGTCCTGTATTTGGTTTCAACCATGCATATCCATACAATTATTTTATTGACAATTATAATTAATCTTGATTATATTATCTTGCATTTGTAAACTTAGAATTACCAATTTAAATACGCAAATTCAACATTCAAATATTTATGCATGAACAAAAACATTGGGCATTATCTCAATCCCGCGTAAAAAACTAGTATTAAGAAATAAATGACAAGCAAATTATTTGGTGGTTAATGGATTATAATAACAATTATTTGTACGCATATAAACGGAGAGCTGGCATCACGTGTTCTGCATAATAACAAGCAGATCAGTCATCAGTACAATGTCTTCTCTATTACCCTTTCTGATTTTAGCTATGGCTTTCATTTCCAAAGCTTTAACAACCAATACCACAACTGATCACTCCTCTCTTCTTTCTTTGAAATCTCACATCAACTTAAGCCGCCACCACATCTTGGCAAAAAGTTGGTCAACAAATGCCTCTGTTTGTGACTGGATAGGAGTTGTGTGTGGATCCAGCCACCAAAGAGTGATAGCATTAGACATATCGGGTATGGGTCTTGTGGGTACCCTTCCCTCACAACTAAGCAGCCTTTCATTTCTTGTTTCTCTTAATATGAGTCACAACCATTTTTATGGAAACTTGCCAAGAGAATTAGCCAATCTACGTCAACTTAAAATCATGAAATTAGGTTTTAATGATTTGAATGGTGATATTCCAAGGGAGTTATCATCATGCTTAGAACTTGAAGAATTGTGTTTGGTTCACAACAACTTTAATTTGTCGGAATGATTCCGAGGGAAATTGAGAACTTGAATATGCTTCGATTTTTATGCCTTTGGCGTAACAACTTAGAAGGTACGCTCCAGTGTTTTGTAGTATTATGATTTTGAAGGTGTTGAAAAATGAATTCAATGAATTTTGCCTATTACATAGATTGATAAATGCATCTTCTACTTTATTGATGACAAGAAGAATGATCTATATGTAAACGTGAATATTGTTAACTATTGCACGGTTGTAATTTTGCAATCAATTAAGTGGATTTTTGCCACGACCTGATTGGAAATTTGACAATGTTACAATGGCTTATCTTGGTGTGAATGTCTTGTCAGGAATGAAACTCTTCTATTGACCTTCTTGGTTTGAACCGATCAGTTATAAGCAATTTAAGTTAGTTTACCTCCTTGTCATCCTTTATAAGCTAGAGTCGCAAGATGGGATTTATCCCGTGCACACTCTTGAGTAGTTGTGTCGGGTTTACTTCGTCACTCAAAGATAGAAAGAAATTTTTAATGTTAAATTTAATAATAATTTAGAATAAGAGCAAGCGTGATGACATATAAATAAGTGTTAGACAGATTATTGAATTTATTATATTTGTGCAATTGAGTTATAAATAAAAGAGTAAAAGACATTTTTGGTCCTAGACTTATAGTGGCTTGGACAATTTTAGTCCTTTATAAACAAAAAATTGTCATTTTATGGACAGAGTTATTGTGGCGAGGACATTTTTGGTCCTCCGTCTATATTTCTGTTAGATAACCGTATGAGAGGGGCAATTACGTTAATTTAGGCTATCTCTTTATTGTGAGATGGACGATTTTGGTCCCACAACCATGTCTTTACTCTGACCCTCATTTATTTGTAGTTTTGCACTACGAAATGCTCTGCCCACAACCATGCCTTTACTGCAACTTGGACTCTCCGACTCCGAATTATGACCGAGAAGAAAACAAAACACACATAGATATAATAGATAGAAGGAGATAGCCTAAATTGACGTAATTACCCCTCTCTCAGACGGTTATCTAACAAAAATATAGACGGAGGACCAAAAATGTCCTCGCCACAATAACTATGTCCATAAAATGGCAATTTTTTTTTTATAAAGGACTAAAATTGTCCAAGCCACTATAAGTCTAGGACCAAAAATGTCTTTTACTCTAAATAAAAGCCAACATGATGACACTCTTATAATTGCATATGTTTTTGTCAATGACTTGAATAACTTTTGACAGATAAAATACCAAAAGAGTTAGGCAACCTTAATAATCTAGAGTATCTCAAGTTGGATCATAATGGACTAAGTGGTTCAATTCCATGGGAAATCTTCAATATCTCAACGTTAAGAGGAATGTCAGTAGCATCAAATTATAACCTTTCAGGTACTCTTCCCTCCTCTATGGGTAATAAACTTCTCAATTTAGAGCTCCTATACCTTACTGAAAACAATATTGGAGGACTTAAACCTACCCAAATATCAAATGCTTCCAAGCTAGTTGTTCTTGAACTTAGCCAAAACCATTTCACAGGCTTCATTCCAAATTCCCTAGGAAACTTGCCACAACTCAAAATTCTAAACCTGATGTCCAACAATCTCACAACTGATCCCAAATTTAGCCTTATAAATGCATTGGCAAACTGTACATACATTCAAGAATTGGATTTGTCATTAAACCCTTTAAACACTGTGCTCCCCAGTTCAATTGGCAACCTCTCAACCACTCTCCAAATCATCCGGTGGAAGATTGTAACATCAGGGGACAAATCCCACATGAGATTGGCAATTTAAGCAACTTATACGAGTTGGCTCTGTTGATTAATGAAATTATAGGGCCTTTGCCAATGACTATGCAAGCTCTTCAGAGACTCTATCTAACTCAAAATAGGCTAAAAGGCTCATTTCCAGATATGGTCTGCAAACTAGGGAATTTGGGTTTGATAAGTTTACAAAGAAATGATTTTTCAGGTCCAATTCCGGGTTGTTTAGGGAACGTTTCTTCCCTGAGAGAGATCTATCTGCCTGAAAATGAATTCATTGTCTTCCCTCCTACCCTCTGGAGCCTTCAAAATCTTTTGAGGCTAGATTTGCATTCTAATAACTTGAGGGGTTCTATACCTCGGGAAATCGGGAATGCAAAAACGGCAATACTCATTGATCTGTCACATAACAAACTATCCGGGGAAATTCCCAGTACCATTGGAGGTTTGATAGCGTTAATGAATTTTTCTGTGGCTCATAACACAATCCAAGGTTCTATTCCTGACACTTTTGGCAAACTAATGGATCTACATTCCTTGGATCTTTCTTATAATAATTTCTCCGGAATAATTCCCAAGTCATTGGAGGGACTTATAAGCATGAACTATTTCAATGTTTCACACAATAGATTAACCGGAGAAATTCCAAGTGGAGGCCCTTTTGCCAACTTCACCTATGAATCATTCTTGTCAAACGATGGTCTATGTGGTACTCCTCGGATGCATCTCCCACTTTGTCCTACCAATCCTCTGCATACATCAAAGAAGAACAGAGTGGTTCTCATTGTACTTGTCTCACTCGCACTTCTTGTAGTGCTAGTTGCCTCTGCTACTGTACGTATACTTGATTTTCAAGAAGCACAGTGGGGAGCTTCCCAGTCAACTTGACTTGCTACCATCAATAACACCAGCAAGATTTTCATACCGTGAACTCCAGCGAGCAACGAATGGATTTGATGAAAGCACCTCGCTAGGTAGGGGAAGCTTCGGATCGGTTTATAAAAGGACTTTAACAAATGGGATGCATGTAGAAGTCAAGGTTTTTCGTTTGCTTCATGAAGGTGCAGATAGGAGTTTCAACGTAACACTGAGTGTGAAGTTCTACGCAACATTCGTCACAGAAATCTCACAAAGGTTCTTGGCAGTTGCTCCAACTTGGATTTTAAAGCTTTGGTGCTAGAGTATATGCCCAACGAGTGTCTACATAAGTGGTTATATTCTCACAACTATTTCTTGGATATGATGCAACACGAGTGAGTATAATGATAGATGTAGCATCTGCTTTGGAATATCTTCACTGTGGTTACTCCAAGTTTATTGTCCATTGTGACTTGGAACCTAGTAATGTGTTAATAGATGCTGATATGGTGGGACATCTGAGTGACTTTGGTATAGCAAAGTTTTTAGGAGATAGGAACTCCATTGCCATCACAAGCACCTTAGCAACAATTGGTTACATTGCTCCAGGTAAATGTTTCAATTTTTTTTTTTTTTTTAACTTTCTTGATTTGCTTTTAACATTCGTCACATAACATTTTGCATTTCTTATGCCTTCCTATCAAATTTTGCACTGCTTCTAGAGTATGGACAGGAAGGTCTTGTGTCCACCCGTAGCGATATGTAAAGTTATGGTATCATGTTGCTTGAAGTTTTCACAAGGACACGACCTGAACATGATATGTTTAGTGAAGATTTAAGTCTAGAAGTTGGGTGTACCATGCACTTCCTACAGACATTGGTCAGATTGTAGATCCAAACTTATTTGGACCAAACGAAGAAAAGTACGATGAGAAATTATAGGGTGTATTGGGTATCTTGGAGCTAGGCATAAAATGCTCGGCAGAATCTCCTCAAGAGAGGATAACCATCAAAGATGCTTTACCACCACTGAGAAAGATAAAAGTCCAACTTCTTTCAGTGTATGGTTTATGTAAAAACTAGCATTTCCTATTATTGTATCTTTCATGAAAATGGAAATAAAATGCAAGAGATCGATAATGTTTTTGTACACAAATCAAGTAACATGCCCGCACGTAGTCACTCGTCACTCGCCACTCCCCTGTTTATCGCCATGCCCGCACGTATGCCACGTCATCGCCATCCGCGCAACTCCTCCCGCCCAAACCTCGTGTACCTCCCCAGCGGATTGCCACCCCGCGTGCGAGGGTGCTGGCAATCGCGCTGCCGTGCCCCTTGCGCGAGGGGGGCAGTCGCACACTGCCGCGCCCCCGCGCAAGGGGGCGCTATGCCCATGCCTAGCCGCGCACCAGGCACGCTGGGCGCGCTGTCGCCGGCTCAGGCCAGCGCCCCGCCGGGGACCCCTCCGGCCACAACCGCCACCCTGCTCTCGGTCACCCCGATCCATTTGGCCCAACAATGCCAGCCCATCAAGTCCATGGCTCATGCCCAATATCCCCAACAGCACTGATATTGAGGCATGATTCTGAGATTGTCTGCTCCTTTCTCCCCCAACTGCTTTATATAATTCCTCCAATCGACTGGTCCTTCGAATAGATCATCCAACCCAATCACAAATTGTAGCAACCCTTTCACACCTTTTATCAAACATTTGGTCGGCACACGAGAATTCTTCCCATCAATGGCGTTTGTAGTCCAACGGTTGGGATACTTTTTGGATCTCGCACCTGGAGATGCATTAAGAGAATGGTGGTAAACAGACATGTGCAGTGATTAAACTTCACCAAGATCAGAAAGAATGCAAGCAACATTTACTAGACAAAACAACACAAAGAACACACTGTTAAAAGATGGAAATTTGTCCCACACCGGAAACCTATTAAACCGGATACCCCAATATAAGTTGCTGAAGAAATTAGATGGACACGACCTTACTTGAACAGGATCTGTTCTATAGGCTCGTACCTCTGTATCCTTGAGTTCTAAGGAGACAGGAAACTAAGCCTGGTGGATGAAGTATGGCCAAGAGACTAGAGCGTGATTAACGGCTCCAGACCTTCACTGAGCTGAGCTGTAGAGGATCGTTCTCAGCCATGGGTTCATGGTTGGGATGGTCTCTTGGCTGTCTGACAGGCTTCCAATCTTTTTCTTTTTTGCTGGTCTGTATCAAAGCTATCATGGGAATGGTGATTCTGATATTAGATTAGCAGATTCTCAGGCTAGCAGAGCCGCAGTAAGAAATTTGTACTTTGCAGCCCTTTCTCACCTTTTCTCATTTGTAATTGATTCGAGAAATTTTAGACAGTCATGGCGTTTGTAGTCCAACGGTTAGGATAATTGCCTTCCGAGCAATTGATGACCCGGGTTCAACTCCCGGCAAATGCAATTGTTTAGTTCTTTTCCCCGGCTTTTGATTTTCTGTCTTGAATCATTTTATTCTGCAAGCAATGGATTATGGGTGTTCTAGATCTCCTTATCTAACAAGTGCAACAGAAGTATATGCATTTTGACACAAGTTTACACCTTTTGATGAAAACATGTCCCATAGGTCCATAACACACAATGACTGCATAAAATGAATCAGCTCTTCCAAGAAATGCATTCTGATCTGCTGCTATTATTGGGAATTCAGAAAGCTGTCATACATGACCACAGAATCTTGTTCTACAGGTTTAAAAACAGATTCTCATTAGTGGGTAACAACATTGTTAGCTAGATTCATGCTTAACAATGGAGCTGCAGATTCCCATGGAAATTCCATGTTTCTCAGTCTATGCAAAGCTTTGACATTATACATTTGCTCATCAACAGGAAGCGTTTGTAGTATAACAGTTAGGATAATTACCTTCCAAGCAATAGACACGTGTCCTTATTTAAAAAAAAAAATTAATTATTATTTTAATTAATTTATAATAAATAATATTTTTAATAAAAAAATAAAATAAGGACACGTATCAACACCGTATGAATTTAACCTGATAAACAAGTCAACTTGGACTTAATTGAACAATTTTACAGGTTTAGGGGACCTGAATATAGCTTTTTTCACTTAGGGGACCCAATTGCACTATCCACTCGACTTAGGGGGGCAATTTGACACTAATTCCATTTTGATAAGATGGTTCACTGCACTAGTAAAAGACTTTCAACTTTCGGAGTAACCTAAAAAAAGTGTATTAGATTAGTGACTTGATAACTACAATGTCACAAATTCAACTCCCAACAGGAGTAATCTATTGGTTTTCTTGGCTTGAACCGATAGATTAACTATGAGAAACTTATGTTGATTTACATCATTATAATCCTTTACCAACTAAGATCACAATGTGAGATTTATTTAATACATATCATCAGATAATGACTTCAAGTTTCAGTTGTTACTCAAAAAAGACTATGTGACTGACATAACTAATCACGAATATTTGTGCGAGAAAAAAAAAAATAAAAAACCTTTTTCCCTTCCGATCCATAAATAACTTTTCATTCTAAACCAATTAATTTATACTTATCAAATAGTATTTAATTAATAATGTACAATTTTTAATTTTATACTCCTTCTTTTAGTGACAAACCTACAAATGCTACCTTGAGGGTGTGTGCAAACCACACAAGATAGACATATCGTACTAGAAAAATTCTGTGTAACGGGCTCAACCAAAAGGTTTATACGGTGGACCATGGTTCAAATTGTAAGGTGGACTATTGGCATACATGTTCATTTTTAATGTACTACATATTTACTTTTTGAATGTTCATTCATTTCCAATAAACCACTTCATTAAGAATCGAACTTGTAACCTTGTGGTTATCAAGTCAATATACCCCAACTTGGCTGAGGTTGCCCCTCAATATTATACTCCCTTTTGAACTCTGAGTAGGTGTTCTTGCATCTTAGTTTTTCCAAAGAATAAATTAATGTTCTTAATTATGATATGAATTGGAAATAATGGTATTCTCATAATGTGCAATATATTAGGGTCAGGAACTCATATCTCTGTGGGCTAATGATGATAGCGTTCAAGAGCAATTGTTATGCCGTGCAACATGGTGCACACGGTTGAAAACGACATCGTTTAACACTATAGGACTAACGGTGCCGTTAGTGGCACCGTTTGACTCCTCCAATCGTTTTTTTTTAAATAAAATAATTATTATTAGTATAAAGCGCCAATAGACACCTTTTTTCGCCATTTTCCACCTTTCGTCTGCAACAAGCTTCAACACAGTATAGAGCTTCATTGCCACTGTTGCAACCTTCATCGACGCTCTCTCGGTCTACTCGTTGTCACATTTCTCGCCTTCTTCATCGTGACCGTGTTTTGTTGCCCATTTTTCTCGCATTGTCGCCATTTTCATCGCCTTCTTCTTCAGGTATTATGCATTTATATGGACTTATAGAACTTTAACGTTAATATTCGATATACATTTTTGTGATTTTTTACTAGGGTTTTGCAATGTGATTTTGGATTTTTAACGTTGATTTTATGAATAGTATCAACAAGTAGTATAAATCTGAATATTATGAACACAATTTAAAGGATTTTGAATATAAAGAACCAAAGTTATGGATATATAGTTCACAGATTGTAAATATGAATTCAAACGATGTATGGTTTTTTCCAAACAGAGCAGTACTCTGTTTTTTTTTTTTTTTATGCTTTTGAAATATTTATGAACATATAGTTATGAAATTATGGATCTATAGCTTTATAATTGTGAATGTGTAGTATAATACTTTTGCATGTATGAAAATATCATTTGTGTCTTCTATTTTTGGTGCTTTTGAAATGTTTGTGTACATATAGTTATGATATTATGGATATATAGCTTTATAATTGTGGATGTATAGTTTAATACTTCTGCATGTATTAAAATATCATTCATGTCTTCTATTTTTGGTGCTTTTGAAATATTTGTGGACATATAGGTATGAAGTTATGGATATATAGCTTTATAATTATGGATGTGTAGTTTAATACTTCTGCATGTATGAAAATATCATTCATGTCTTCTATTTTTGGTGCTTTTGAAATATTTGTGGACATATAGGTATGAAGTTATGGATATATAGCTTTATAATTGTGGATGTGTAGTTTAATACTTCTGCATGTATGAAAATATCATTCGTGTCTTCTATTTTAGGTGCTTTTGAAATATTTGTGGACATATAGTATGAAGTTATGGATATATAGCTTTATAATTGTGGATGTGTAGTTTAATACTTCTGCATGTATGACATTCTTATTTACAAAAATGGCACGCGAACCTACACTAATGGAGGCTCTTCAAGAAACTAAAAGAAGAAGAACAAGAGCGATCTTGAATTAAACAAGCGGCTGAGAGTTCTGGCGCAAATAATGAAGAAAACCTTGCTAGGCAAACAAGGTCACAAACAATACAGAAGACAGTGCAAACAACCATTGCAGAGACTTCAACAAGAGGGCACCAAACTTCGCGCAAGAGAAGCCGAGCACAACGGAGGACGGAAAGAAGGGCAGATTACTTCAGTACAAGGATGGGGCCAAAATTGATGTTCGACCCTTGTCCAGAGGCTCTCACCACAGCAGAAACAAGCTGCAGTTGATGTTGGATTTGGTGGACTTCTACATCTCCAACTCTGCACCAATGAATCAAAGTTGGTGGAATACCTGCTGGACAAATTTAATGTTTTCAGATGTGATTTTGTATTGGATGATGATATTCTCCACATTGATGAAGAAGATGTCGAGTACACGTTGGGGATCCCCCGAGGGAATATGGAAGTTGAAGAGGAAACAAAAATGGAAGACAATTCAACCCCTGCATACAAAAGGCTGCTGACTGCATGGAGACGGAGGTGGAGTATTATAACAGGATCACCAATAACGACACAAATGCCAGATGAGATTGTTAGAAGAGCTAGCCATGGTGACGAATTCAAGAGAGATTTTGTGGTCTTTTCCGTTTCCTCCATGCTTCAAGGAAACACAACACGATACTCCAACTACAGAATCTTAAAGTCGTTGATTCATGTTCATATGATTAAACAATACAATTGGTGCGGATACACATACAAATTTCTCATTGACTCGGTTGAGACTTACAAGGAAGACAGAAGCAGAACCTTTTGGGGGCCAATGACATTGATATTGGTAAGTTCTTATTGTCTTTAATCTAATTGCATGAATGTTATGTAGTTGTGGATGTATATTTAAGAATTTATTATGGATATATATGCATGACATTTGGAATATACTCAGTTTATTAAGATCTGAATATATAGTTCTGAATTTGTGGATATATAGTTTTTAAATTGTGGATATGTAGTTATGTAATTATGGATATATAGTACTCTGTGAATATATGAATGTATTACTCTATGAATAAAGATTTAAAAATTCTGGATATATAGTAATGTATTTGTGGATGTATAGTTATTAATTTATGGATATATATGCATGAAACTTGGAATATACTCAGTTTATTAATATCTTAATATATAGTTCTGAATTTGTGGATATATAGTTTTACAACTATAGATATATAGTTATCTAATTATGGATATATAGTACTCTGTGAACATATGAATGTATTACTCTATGAACAAACATTAAAGAATTCTGGATATATAGTAATGTATTTTTGGATGTATAGTTATGAATTTATGGATATATATGCATGAAATTTGGAATATACTCAGTTTATTAAGATCTGAATATATAGTTCTGAACTTGTGGATATATAGTTTTAAAATTACGGATATATAGTTATGTGATTATGGATATATAGTACTCTATGAATATGAATGCATTACTCTGTGAACATGCAATTAAGAATACATGGGTATGTAGTTGTTCTAACTTGATTTTTAACATAATCTTCTGTAATTTGTAGTTGTTCTACTTTGATCGAGTATAATTCAAAGGAATGAAGGTCAGCAGGACATACCCTAGCATACTTGCTTGGACAAGCAATCTTGTAAGAAAGAGGGTCAAGGTTGAAAAAAAAGCCGGGGGGTTTGGAAAGGGAAAGGTTGTCCCTAGAATTAAGAAGCCAAGGAGTGCTGCTACCACCTCACTGCGACAACCTGCATGTACTGCTGCTGCTACCACCTCACTGCCACGACCTGCATGTATTGCTGCTGCTACCACCTCACAGGCTACTACTTCTTCTATTCCTGCTACTGCAACACCAACTCCACCTACAAATGAGCCACTCTCAAGTGTTGACAGGGTGACCCGTGTGCTCCAAAAGCTAACATCAAATGTTCTGGAGTTCGGTGAAGCTATGTCTGAAATTGGAAAGCAGGGTGCACCTATTGAAGTGATGAAGAAAGCATTCTCAGGGATATCAAACATGCTAGGTGCTGCAAGTGCAATTTAATCAACTTCCGTTCCAACTGCCTC